AGTAATTGACTGAACTGTGGGGGGGGGTTGTTGTATAGATGCACCTTGGTGTGGACACTGCAAACAGCTGACTCCCATCTGGGAGAAGCTTGCAGAGAAGTACAAGGACAGTGTGGACACCATCGTGGCAAAGATGGATTCCACAGTCAATGAGATCGAGGCAGTAAAAGTCCATAGCTTTCCTACTCTCAAGTTCTTCCCCGCTGGAGATGACCGCAAGGTGAGCGCCTCATCACTGAGTTGATATTCTCAATTTCACTGTCTTCAGTTCTTCATAACTTTCTATCTGATTTTGGGATGGGTGGGGAAAAATAATCCATTTAAGAGTTAGAGCCGAAATACAATGTCGCCCCTTTGTTTTCATTGGTCAAAGATTAGTTGTGAATCAAGAATTAATATTTGAATTGTGACCCTAAGAATCTGAACAGATTCTCTGCTTGAAATTGATCAGTAAGCAGAAGAGACATATTCTATCAGTAGTATTACTCTAATCCCGCTTAACCTTTGTGTTGACTGATCCATTCAACAACTTTCCTTCCCTAGCCTTGGCTTCTTATTCATTATGTGCTTTAGCAGTTATGAATTAATGGGATCTGGGTGATTATTTGGATCTCAAGTCACTACCATAGAGGCTTCCAAAATGTCATAGTGCTTCTTGATTTAGCAGCGTTAAGCACATGCAGAAACCTGACCCTGCAGGCCCTATAAGTTTCTGCAACATTGTTTTGGTGTTTAGTTCTGCACATTTTCATTGATGTTGTCTGAACAGGTGATTGACTACAATGGGGAGAGAACACTGGAAGGCTTCACCAAGTTCCTAGAGAGCGGCGGCAAGGACGGCGGCGCCCCTGCAGGGGACGATGAAGATCTGGATGCAGAGGTGAGAGAATTTCTACTGAAGCAATGAAATCACAGCATAGTTGTAGCCTTATGAGAACTTATTTTCTTCTTAGTCCAATCAACTGCACAGAAAAAACCTGTGTAGTCCCTTCATTACTGAGCTCACAAGCAAAACATGACACTTAAGAGATATTTGCTGAGGCTGTCTAGGCTTTGTTGACTATAGCTTGACTGATGCTCTGTTGCTCTGATGATCTTCATTTACTGGCCCTTTCAACATTTTCTTTGGAGACAAGCCAGTGAAACAAAGCAGTGTTAGTAAGTCAGAGCAATTGATCTAAATGTACTGTATAAACAGCATAAATGCAGACTTGCTTTGTGTGTGAACTTTTTATATATTGGTGCCTATACATTGTTTCATAAGCAATTTGTAGTTAGAGATGTTTTTTGTTAATTTGACACATTATTTCTAACAAACTTTCATATTTTGAATGAGAAAATGCACCATCTTGTTATAAAATTTTCTTGATGGTAAAACTGCAAGTTAGGAGTGTAGAAGAAAGTGCACGTGTCATTGAAACTCTAGTGCTTTTGGAGGCATATTGGCTTCATGTTGCCCAGAATAGGTTTATGGGTCAAGGTCCTCTGAGGAGTTTAGGTTGTAACCTTAGAACTGACCCACTTTTTGGTTTTATTGAAGGCGTTAGGAATGGCATAACTGAAGAAACACTATCATTGTATGGTTTAAGGATTCAAGTTTCTGCTTTACAAAAAGTGCCAAAAATGGCACCTTGCACTTGTGTAAAATGTAAAGCTTTATTGGTAACAATGATATTGACCAGTCTACAAGGAACCCCTGCCTCCATGTCCTGGTCAAACATGCAGGTGATGCAGTTTGGACTTTGACCAACTCTTCTCCCTCTGTGCCTGACTCTGCTGTATCCAGTACACATTGGAAGGGATCTTTTCTAGCACCTTCCCACTCTACTACTGCCAACACGCGCCCTTCCCAGAAGTCTAATTGCAGTGCAGCCCACCGCTGTCCGCTAATGCCTCCTGCAGCTGTCATTACTGTTTACTGGCCTTTGCCTGGAGACCTGAACCTCCAGATAGTAGCCGCACGTGCAAGGCTGTAATCAACATTAGTGCCTTCCTTTATGAGTTGAATCTTCTCTACCCACCTGTCCACAGGCGAGACGTGTCTTCCATAACTATGATTGTGACAGTGCTGATTTTCACATTCTGCTGAGCGACAGGGATTTTTATTTGTTCCGATGTGTTTTAGATAGATTTGTCACTGCATGAAGGTCTAGTTTATAATCCAGATTAGAAATAATCTGAATTAACCAACAACCCTCTCTGCTGTCTAGGATTTGGATGATATAGATGGACAGGACGAGGACTCTGATGGCGAGGATGGAGGTGATGACGATGGACACGATGAGTTGTAGGAGCTGGTAGAGGAGAGCGAGTGCGAGAGAGAGGAGATGAGTCCCACCCCCACCCTTCCAACCGGTCACCATCACTACCTTCACTTCCTAGTGGACCTTCCTGTCCTGTGAACATTAATACTTCCCCTCTCGGTCAGTCAGCCGGCCTGTCAGCCCGCTGGCCAGTCAGTCAGTCAGTCAGTCCATCAGTGGCGTGGCAGGGCCTTTTTTCACCTGCCACTTCTCTAACCTCGCAACTTCTGGTCAGACTGGTCTTGTCCCACATCTGGGGACTCTGTGGAACAGCACACCACCTCTATGGGAGACCTCAATGCCTTCTCTGCAAAGCTCCACATCAGCTGTTTGCCTTTGTATATTTTAAACCAAATGTAAAAAAAGAATATGGCATTGAGATCAAGTTTTCAAAATGTTTGTTTTTCCTGATAAATTTGCTCCCCTCTTAAAACCCATCTTTCCATTGTTCAGTGTGGGTATGAGCTAAATGAGTGTAAAGCGTATTTGTGGGTATGCCAGTGTTCTTTTCCCTCTGACAGTAAACCAGAGGACCAGAGTTTTCTGTGTTGGTTAGGTAAGGACTGAACTCTCAGGGGACAAGGGGCCATCCTATATATGTTACTTTTTATTTTGCAATGTCGTCACTAAATACACCCCACAAAGTTTGTCCAGTGTGGCACAGAGGGCCCCTATCTGTAGCTGAGACCCATCATGTTCTTTCTTTTGGTGGGTGAAGGGGGTTTACTTTGTTTTCATGTCCTTCATTCCCAAACTATTTCCCGGTTCACTCTCCTCATTTCAGCTCGGCTACTGACTATTATTTGGGGGAAAACTTTTTTATTTTATTTAATTGCTTTCACAATGAGGTTTTTTTTTTGCTTTTTAATTTAGGACATGTCATTTTTAATAATGTACCATGGTGCCCAGCTGTAGCCAGTTGGCCCTGTTGGGGCAGAGTTGGCCCTTGGATATACTCTCAGGCCTGGGATGGTTTTTGGAGCCAGTTCTGATAGGTCGCACTGCATTCATGCCTAATCAGAGATTCATTGTGGTTACTAAAGCGGACAGAGATTGGTACAGTTTCCTGGTCAGGTTGGTCTGAGAGAAGAGTCTGTTCTATCTGAGGCGGGTAGGGAACAGTTGCACAGCCCCACCTCTCACCCACACTGTACCTCCACCATCCCTTTTGGCTCTACCCAACACTCATATTGCCACAGAGTTGCGTGTGCGTGCGTGCGTGTGTGAGTGTGTCTATGAGTGAGGTGTGAGCGTGCAGTGCTGAATGTTTGAATGGTGTAAAAATTGTGTGTGTGTTTGGCATGGAGGGGAGGCTTGAGTAGAGCAAGGTGATGGGTTTGACAGCTGTACAGTGGAAGGGGGAAACTAAAAAAATAAAGCATTCCATCATATCCAAATTGATGTGGTAAACGTAAACTGGTGGCCAATAAACAAAATACTAAAATAAGTTTGTCTTCAGTTTCTTTTCTTTTGTGTGTGTGTATCAAAGTGCCAGACTTAATTAGATGTCTGTAATACATCCAATGCATTTCTAATACATCACACTACATGCTAATTATCAAATGTCACCAGGGTAATGGGCTGAACTACGATGGTGAACATGGTGAACCTTCTACCTGCTAAACAGCTGCATCTTTTAAGTTATCAATTAGCTCAAAACAACTATGCTAACATAGCTGTAGGCTCTAGATATCATGGCTGTCTGCATTCAGGGCCACAGATGGGATTTTAAAAATACTGACCTCATTTACTAGACTTTGCTATAATATACTAGACTTAAGTGTACTATGCTATACTAGACTTAACTATATTAGAACTCTACAAGCCTTTGCTATACTAGACTTTACAACACTAAAAATATTAGACTTTGCTCTACTGTACTGGATAGTATCCTTACTCTCTTGTTGAGGGTTAAGGGCAGAGGATGTTGCACCTTGTTATGCCCAACAAGACAAATTGTGATTTATGAATATGGGCTATACAAATAAAATTTGATTGACAGATGTCACTGCTACACTATACTAGACTTTACTATACAATGCTATGCTACACTAGACTTTGCTTAACTAAATTAGATTTTACGACATTAAACTTAACTATACTAGATTTTACTATACTATTGAAGAACCTTATATACTATACTAAGAATCCAAAGGCCCTGCCAGAATCAGTATAATTGACACAGATGGTGACCACTTCTTCAAACTGAAAAAAAACCCAGAAAAAAACATCAAATATGTGATATACTGCTCGTGTGGTGTCATCCAAGTGTAAGTAAGCCCTGACATTCAAGTTTGACGAGTTGAAACAGCATCATTTACGCCACATTTTTAGTCTAAATGTCCTCTGATGTTCTCCTCTGAATCTGAGTTCGCACGTGGATCACAGAGGACATTTAGGCTAAAACATGGTGTAAATGAAACCGTTTCAAGTTGCTGATATTGTTACAGTGACTTGCAAACATTTTCTGTGTGGTTTAAAAATTGCCATCAAAATTTCCCAGAGCTCAGTGTGACGTCTTCAAACTTTTTCTTTTTAACAGTTAAAACACAAAAGCTTTATCTAATTTAACACAAAGAAAAACATAGAATCCTAACATCTAAAAAGCCTGAATGACATGATCATTTTCCCTGTATGATGATGAAGCAAACCATAGAGTCATAGAGTCATTTAGAAATGATCACTACCCTTCCTGTATCTCACATCAGAGACTAACATAGTACTGAGTAAGAACACCACAGCCTCTTTGACTGTTTATGTCAACAACCTAAACAGCACTTCACCTCTCTGTGCCCTCACAGTTGGCACCAACACGCTCTGGCAGTTATCCCCCTTTATACTGTATGGTGTTTACTAGAAGGCCCCAGCCTCCCCCTCCCTCTGACCAGGGTGGATGTCACCACTATCTTAAAGAGCTCAGCATCTGAGTATGTGGAGGGGGACAGCAGAGGTTACTGGCTGTCATGTCTTCAGACGTGAGCTGTCTCACAGGGGGGGCCTGACTAGTCCTGACCAGTGGGCTACTCATCTTCCAGGGCTCGTCACTGAAGCTAAGCCTCTTAAAATAGACAGACAGAGAGTATAAAGAGACCCACCAGCCCTCAGAGCAACAGCTCCAACATCGATACACTGAACAGCAAGAGGATATCTGACTGATCTTTCTGCAGGTCCGCAACTGACCTCTCTCAGAAAATCTGCTCTGATCTCTAAGATTTGAAGGAAGTCAAACTTCATTGTTGTAGGGGTCTTGTCGGAATTTACCAGATTTTTCTGCAACAACAAAGGGAAGACTGAATTTGACCAGGATGAAGTATCAGTGCCCTGTGTCCCAGACCATGGGAGTTAAGACTTACGCCACGGACTGTGGAGTCCCAGTCAGCTGCAAGAGCTCTGCTTCTCTGAAGCAGACCCGCAGTGTCCACTTCCCCAATGATATCGTTTTTCAGGACTACGTGCGACACGGCGAGCTGGAGAGGATTGGACGTTTCATGCGAACCAGTAGAGTCACCCTGGACACCATCTACCACTCTGGTGAGCCCCATGAAACAACCATAACACTGATCTGCAGTTAAGAGATCTTGATGTTAGACGACAAACATCTTGTTCAAAACTAATTTTCCCTCTTTATGCAGGTATGGCTGCCATTCATGAGTCTGTCCTGTCTGGGAACCTGGAGTGTGTGAAACTGCTGGTCCACCACGGAGCAGATATCCTCCAGAGAGACGAGGAGGGATGGACCCCTCTGCACATGGCCTGCAGCGACGGCTTCCCACACATTGCACGGTAAGCATCCAGTCTTTTTTTTATATTAAACACTCAAAAGGTCAGAAGAAAATCAAATCTCTATTTCACTGTAGAGTGAGACTGTAATTTAGACACTTATGAAAACTGTAGAGAAGGGTCGAGGTCAGCAAAAGTTTCATTATAGAGAAATATCTATAAAGGTTAGCTGACATCAGCAAGCAAAACCTACCGGTCATACATAAGCAATGTCAGAATGTATTCTGAACTGAGCAGTGCTGTTTTATTTCTTATGATTTCAACCTCTTTTGGTAAGGAGAAACATGTGCTGGTTTATTTTAAAACACACAAAGTTTAATTTTTTAGTCTTAACAAGGTGGGAAACAAAGGTGTTGCTGATGATGACACTTATTCTTCCTATAATTAAGCCATTGGAGGCAACTTACACATTACATGTTTAAACTATGGCAAGCACATACCAACACACACACATTGGCTGCACAGCTCTCCTATGCCATAGAGGTAAGGGAAGCTGGAGGATCTCCTGCATTCTTGTACCTCACTGACCTTCCTGACACTGAAGCATGGTAGAAACTCGCATTGAGTTTACCAATGTGGCAAATCAGCAAGATTTGATCCTTTTATTTATACTGTTTCCTCTCAGCTACCTTCTGTCGCTGGGTGCTGACCCAGAGCTGGAGAACGACTGCGGGGAGAAGCCGGCTGACCTCATCGACCCGGACAACAAGGAGCTGCTGGAGCTCTTCGGGCTGGCTGTGAACGACTAAATGCTTTTAAAGCCACAAACGTATCGTACACCTGACGCCCAGACGTCTGACTGCACTGCAGCCATGGACAGAAGAGGCCACGTCAGCCCAGCATCCTGATTTTGTGAGCTGCCTCAGCTCAGGAGGTCAAGGACCATGGATGCCTGGTGGAAGGAGAACGGACAGAGACAGTAGGCTGCCTCCAGAGTGGAGTGAACTTTTGCCGGAAGCGGCTCCTCTCTGATCCCTAGATCAGAGATGTATGTGTCCCATGAGCACTTCAGATCCTTTTATACTGTGAACTGAATGAATCGCTTGATGTGGAGTTGATGATGTTATTTGGCCTGTCACTGGAATTCAGAGGGCTTGTGAATGTTGTGAAAGCTGAAACTGTTGTTGCTGCTCCTCTGTCTGCTAAGATTAGAACAAACAAACAGGCTTGTGCTGTCTGACTTGGTAACACATTAGTTTAGAGTTAATCAGGACTTTTTTCTATTTTTGCCTCTACATGTTTCAGTTGATTAACTGTATTCACTTTTAAATGTTTGTAAATGACTTTTTATACGTCGCTTTTTTAAATAAACTTCATCTACCATTTCTTTCATTTAGTGTATGCATAGTGTGTGACAACCTAACTAGTGCTGCAATGAACACTTGAATAAGCATCAGAATCACTTTCAGTCAATTCACAATGAAACAGGAAGAACATCATAAACATGAAACCTCCAGCTACAGACTCAGTCAACAACCCTAATCAGGGTTATTATGACCAATGGACCAAATGTGTTGGTTTTACTGCAAGTGATACTTTCATCCTCAGACACTCAAAGGGATAAAATGCTCTCTGAAGCAGATCTTAACTTCTCAAAGGATTGAGGACAAACCAACAAAGCAGTGTAGGAATGAAATGAAACCTACAGAAACGTACTTTTTGCATCAACAAAACAAGAAGTGAATATGTATAATGTGTCTGGTTTCAAAGCCAGAGAGAAACGCGACCTACTTCAGCAAATTGACAGCATCACACTTCCATATGTGCAGTATATGAATGTAAGAGCAGCCTCAGCAACTACTGGTTGAATAAATTGTCCCCATTTTCTAACATGTTCACTTTCTATGGTTGATGTCAAATATGTCTGCCAAAAATGTACAAACATATGACAAAAGGAACATTCTGAACCAGATATAAACTACCCAGTAAGTGCCTCTTCAGAGTCATTACTGAAAACACAAAACAAAGTAGTTAATCTCATCAAAAAGGATTAAAGTCAGAATCAATCAGCTGCAAACTGAAATTCAGGTCATATGATTCCAAACTGCAGCCACAGGGGCTTCTGGGAAACTCTGGTAGTCAGCCACACTGATGGAACACTCAAATGCATCATGCAAAGTGACGGGCACAGACTGAATGTGTAGTTTTTTTTTTTATTCAATTACATATCTCTATTAAGAAAATGCAATATATTCCAAATGTCCTTGGCATTTGATCCGATGAACAAGTACAAAAACATTATTTAAACACATTATTTACAGCTGAAACAGAAATGGAACATGTGAACAGGCTTCTGTGAAAGTCTATGTGGGCGGACCGCAGCACCACCTCTGTTGGTTCACTCCTTGAACTTCCACTCCTGACGGCACATGGGGCACTGCTGCTGGACCTGCTGCGAGTTCAGCCATTTCAAGATGCAGTGCATGTGGAAACAATGGGAGCACTGACCCCAGACCAGCGGACAGTCATCTCCAGGCACTTTGCCTGCAAAAGATGTTTCATATTACAGTTCGAACTTAAGAGCGGGTGTTGGTGTTTCACTTTACTTAAAAAGATACTGAGAAATAAGCTCAGGTCTCTAATTGGATATAAAAGTGACCTTTAAAACTGCATGATTATAGTTTGGATATTTTGACATTGACAGCAGATCCTTGACCCAGTGGAGGTGGTGGAGAACCAATCTGACCTCCTGCAGGACACCATCACTTTACTGGGCAGCTCCTTCAGTGGCTGATTCTGATTCAACCAGTGTCTGAAGGAAAGGTATCACACTTTGCTCCTTCCTGCTGCTGTCAGACTGTCCAATCTGCTCCCAGTCAACCACAGGCTCCTAATATACCACACTCAGCTTGTAGTAACACAAGTGTAACTGTGCAATGCTCATTTTCTATCTGCCCAATTTCAATAACTTATGTATGCAATTGTGTTACATTGTATACATTCCATTCAGTGTATATATCATTCCTATGCTTTATATCCTTATGTATTACTTTTACTGATGTTTCCATTTTACTATCTTCTTTGTAGCTATAACATATCTGCAAGTCCAGTTTCAGAAGATTTTACAGTAGAAATCACTTGAAACTTGACATGTGGACAGAGGGCATCTCCATGAACAAGAGTGAGGGGAAATATCTTCACCTCACCTCTCAAGGATTTAAACAAAACAATATATAATATGAGCAACTTATGAAAGCTATAATGAAAAGTCAGCAGACTTTCACATTCATTTTCTCAAACATTCTACATTAAACTAACTTGAAACTCTACATACAGACAGTGGGGGTCACCATGAACAAGAGTGAGGTGTAGAATCTTTGTCACCTCTCAAGGATTTATGAAAATAATATAAATACAAGCAAGTTATGAATGATGTAATGAAAAGAAGCAAACAACCGCTTAGATCAGGGCTTTTCAAAGTGTGGGGCGCGCCTCCCCTAGGGGGCGCCAGAGTTCTTCGGAGGAGGGCGCGATGGTAGTGATGTGATATGTTAAAAAAAAAGTACAGATGTTTGAAAGTGTAAAACAAGATGTTATAAAGTACAGATGTGTTCAACAACCATTTTTTAAGTATGAATGGGGGG